TTAGAATCTCACAAATAAATGTCCATCCTAGGATTTCTGGCTAAACATAATGGATTAAACACTTATATTTATTGATCTTCCCTCTCAGGACTCCACAAAAACTGGAGTTGAGGGTTTTTTTTAAATTATAACCCCACAAAAAGAGAATAGGAAAGAGGGGGGCAGGAAACAGACTAGAGAAATCAACAGATGTTGGAAGCTGGAAAGCAGATGTTAACTAATTAGACCATAGAAAGCTGACACCTATGTGTCTGTGTGTGTGCAGAGCTGGGGTGAGGGTTAGAAGAAAAGGTTAAAGAAATCTCCCAAAGCATAAAACACAGATAGAGAGATTGTAAATGTTGATTAAAGACAAAGAAATAAATTTTCAAAGAAATAACTCAAGACAGTTTCCCAGAACGATGAATAGAAGTTTCCAGGCTAAAAGGCTGAGAGCCCAGCACACTGGTAGAAACATTACCTATATGAAGGCACACCTTTGTGAAATTTAGAACACACGAAATAAAGAAATTATCTCAAAAGCCTTAAGAAAGGAAAAGCAAGTTGCAGTCAAAGCACTGGAAATCACAATGTAACTTCTCAAGAGCAGGACTTGAAGCTAGAAGTCAGTAAGGAAATGTCATCACATTCTAAAGAGAAATGATTTCTAATATAAAATTCTGTACCTTGGTGCCTGGGGGGCTCAGTCAGTTAAGCATCTGACTCTTGATTTCAGCTCAGGTCATGATCTTATGGTCATGAGAACGAGCATTGCACTGGGCTCTGCATTAGGCATAGAGCCTGCTTAAGATTCTCTTTCTCCCTCTCCCTCTGCCCTTCCCCTGCTTGTGGGTTCTCTATCCTTCTGTCTCAAAACACACACACACACACACACACACACACACACACACACACACACACACACACACTAAAATTCTATATCTAACCAAAGTAAAAAAAATCAAGACTGAGTGTAGAACAGTTTCAGATATGCAAGGTCCCAAAGTGGGGGGAAGAAAAGGACCTCCTCTGTATCTGTGTGGCCTTTTTCAGGAAGCCACTGGAGGATATAATCTACCAAAATGAGGATGAAGAAGAAGAAAAAAGGAAGTTTCAATACTGAAAAAAAAGGAGATCCAATACAATGAAGATAAAAAAGAGAATATCTAGGATGGTGGGATGTAGCAATGAAATATTTCAGGAAACGGCTGTGCCTTCGATCCAGAGACTACATCGAGAGTAAAGAAGAGACATGGAAGATACCAGGAGAGAGATCTCCAAGAACAAATGGAAAAGAGGAGAAGGAGAAGGAGGAGGAGGAGGAGGAGGAGGAGGAGAAGAAGAAGGAGGAGGAGGAGGAGGAGGAGGAGGAGAAAGGAAGGGAGGAGAGAGGGAGGGACAGTATGTGGTACATTTCAACTGAGATGAAACTTACAATCTATCTGAAAGTCTGGGGAAGAGGGTAAAAATAAAATTTCTACACAGCAACAATAACTTGGAGGTTGGTTTTCAATGGGTAAATAATCATTCTAAAGTCTGTGTCATGTAAAATAACAGATCAGAATTAGTGAATAACTTTAGACTTTGTTGGAAAATATATACTTAAGAACTTATGTTAAAATATTAAGAGTAACCACTAAAATACCAGAAAACAATCTGTACCTACTAAACAAGCAGAAAAATAGGAAAAATTGTCTCAATCAAACATAAGTAAGAGGTGCCTGGCTGGCTCAGTCAGTAGAGCATGCAACTCTTGATCTCAGGGTTCTGAGTTTCAGCCCCATGTTTGGCCTATAGCTTACTTAAAAAAAAAAAAAAGAAAGAAAGAAAGAAAGAAAGAAAGAAAGAAAGAAAGAAAGAAAGGAAGAAAGAAAAAGAAAAAAACGAACTAGGAAAGCTATTTTTAAGAAGGCAAATAAAAAGCTAGTAAAATAATTAAAACAATAAAAATAAGTCTAAATATGTGTGAATTCACAATAAATGGACTAAAATCACATTTAAAACAGATATGATCAGATTGAAATATAAAAAATATGGCTATAGGGGTGCCTGGGTGGCTCAGTTGAGCGTCTGACATCAGCTCAGGTCATGATCTCACGGTTCGTGAGTTCAAGCCCCACGTCGGGCTCTGTGTTGACAGCTCAGAGGCAGGAGCCTGCATCGGATTCTGTGTCTCCCTCTCTCTCTCTGCCCCTCCCTCACTCACGCTCTCTCTGCCTCTCAAAAATAAAGAAATGTAATTTAAAAAAAATTTTTTAATATAGCTATGAATTTGTTTACAAGAGATAGAGGCTTGCCCTGTGTACAACAGGTGTGGCCTGACTTTAAAAAATGAGCTGTCCATATTCCCTTTCTCAGAAAGACTAAAAAATATTCTTTTTCGGGGCACCTGGGTGGCTCAGTCAGTTAAGTGTCCAACTTCGGCTCAGGTCATGATCTCATGGTTTGTGGGTTCGAGCCCCGCGTCAGGCTCTGTGCTGACAGCTAGCTCTGAGCCTGGAGCCTGCTTCAGATTCTGTATCTCCCTCTCTCTCTGACCCTCCCCTGCTCATGCTGTCTCTCTCTCTCCCAGAAATAAATAAAACATTAAAAAAAAAAAAAAGAATATTCCTTTTCTCAGAGAGACTAAAGAAAGGAGATTCAAATGGCAGTAAGTGCCAGAGGTAGGAGTTAACAAAGAAATAGGACCAGAGCAGCCTTCACGGTATGTGTGTAAGACGAAGAGCTATGAGTAAGCAAAGGAGGTCACTCAATAGGAGAGGTGAACGGAAAAACACGTGGAGAGAAGGCTGTCCTCTGTGAGAGCCAGGTAGCTCTGTCCCTCTCAGATTCCTGGAAGACCTGAATGTACTCCATTCCTGCTGTTGGAATCCCTCTAGACCTCTCTGTATCCTGGAAAAAGAAAAATCCTTCATATGAGCTAGACTTAGTGGGTTGCTCTTCCTTTCTCCCCATGGTGCTGACTAGAATAAATAATGGCAGTATGGCTAATGGTTCCTGAGTGATCATGGTGCGTTGGGCACCAGGAGAGCCTCCCACGGGTTATTGTATTTAATAGTACCCATGAGGTAGCTACTATCCTTATCCCCACTTTGCGTAGGAGTAAATTCAGGCCTAGGGAGATTTCACAGCTAGTTACTGATGACCCAAGACATGAAGGCAGGCAGTTTCACTCCAGAACCATCTTAATCACCACACTACACATGGGTTTCCAAAATGGAGGCAGGGTGGGGCATGGGGTGCCTGGGTGGCTCAGTTGGTTGAGCATCTGACTCTTGGTAATAATGCTTTTTAAAACCAGAGAAGGGATTACTCTGCACTGCACCAGGTGGCTAATGATGATCCAAAGTTACCCACCTCTAAAAGAAGTGAGTCCTCCATCAATTTAAGTATTCAACAGAGGCTAAATGAATGTTTAAGAAAGGTAATGTAGAAAGGATTCCCTCTCAGGAAGGAAAATCAAATGACTTCTAAGACCTTGTAGAATGCCATTAGTCTCTGAATTTTACCACAATGATCTATCACAGCACCATCCAATAGAACTTTCTAGGTAGCAAAAATATTCTATATGCCGTGTTTGCCATAAGGTGGCCACTAGACTTCTGTGATGACTGAGCACTTGAAATGTGGCCAGTGCAACTGAGGAGCTGGATGTTTAGCTCTACGTAGTTTCAATTAATTCAAGCATATATAGCCACAGGAGCTAGTCGCTACTATATTAGCACCAGCCTATAAGCATTTAGGTAAAATACTAAAACAGACTGTTAAATAAAACTGGACAGCCCAGGGCTTAGTTTTATGCATCATACAAATACGGCTCTGCCCAAGGCCTCAGGGCTATGGCTCTGGGCTAAATCATAGTCAAGGAAACCTCCTGATGAATCATCAGCATCATTTCCTGGAGTCTGGCCCTTCTCAACAGCACCTTCCTGCTGTCTGGGGAACACACACATGTACACACATGCACACATCTGTTTATGTGTGTGTATGTTTATGTATGTACATGCATTTGTGCGTGTCTCTGTGTGTGCACCCGCAGCATTGGTAGGGAGAGATACAGGAGACTGGCAGAATGGAGCGGAAATGAGATCACTAATCTTTCTTTATGCATACCTATATTGCCTTACTTGTTACAACAGGCATACATACTTCCCTTTTTTGCAAAACAAAAACTCTAATAAAATGAAATGAAATGAAGACTAAAGAAATATCCTTAAAATCCTCTAATAGCTACCCTGGAAACATTAGCAATATAGTTTACAAAAAGGTACACATCTAAATATTCAAAAGTATTACCATATATGTTTTCCGTCCACAAATTTAATCATGAACATTTTCCTCAAAGGTACAAAACAGAGAATGTTGTAGAAAGTAAAGAATGGAAATATAGCAACGGAAGTTTTTTTCAGTGTTTTTATTTTGAGGTATTGCATTGTGTGTTCTTATTTCTGCTATATAGTGCTTCGATCTTAGATGAGTATAGTCTTAAATTGTTTTGAGGCTTCAAAAACTCTGAGAAGAAAAGTAATGCCAAAGCCTGTGGTAACCTGTCCTCTAAGCCATGAGGGAGGGGACTTGGCATGTAGCAGTTCCAGAATCTGAGCTCAAAGAAATCAGCCCTTACAAATTGCTTAGCCTGAGGGCTGAACAGTCTGTGAGCATTGCATCCTTTTAGGGTAAGCTGCGTAGTTTCTGGATGCCTTCTAGAAAGATCTTGCCCTGAATCAGGTAGAGCAGGACACACCCTTATAAGTCAAAGGAATAAGAAGGAGAGGATTCTGTGGCTGCCCATGTTCTCTGCCATGTCTGGAAAGTGCGCAGAGACTAACCTTACTATGCTCTGTGTGGTGTGCCGCCCAGCCACAACCTGAATCAGAGAGCTCAGGATACCAGTAATTAACACCTCTGAGAAATTCTCCCAGGTTCCCCTGAATCTGAGACTCAACTATGGCCATGGGTTTTCGGCAGATACAGATGGAGAGACAGTGATAGCTTTGACAGTACATAAAAGGCTGCCCTACCTCTCTCCCACTGAGGTCCGCCATGACCGGGTGTGCGGGGGTGGGCTGCCTCACTGCCAAGGGTCTTGGCTCTCCATCCAGCAGGAAGTGTCCAGCCTCACAAGCCAGGGCACAGGGGAATCGGGTCACTGGTAAATGCTGATAAAGCAAGCAACTTCAACAACAAAACACAACAGTTACAACTGAGAACAAAACACAGTAAAAAAAAATCCATCCCCAAAGGACTCTTCTCCAATTCCATTCATTCATCATTCCTTCAACAAACTCCTACCAACTGCCTATGATAGGAATCGGATGGCAAATTTTCATCTGCATGAAGAATAAAAAAAAGGTCCATGCACCCAGATTCTATTTTAAGCCTCAGACAAAAACCACAATTAAAGAATTATCCAAACCATCTTGCTGAAGTTGTGATGCTGAGGCCTATCTCAAATCCTTACACCGCAGGCTCCTAATTTAGAGGACCCTGATGATGCACCGCTGCCCATACTAACTTGTCCTGGGGAGGTCCCGAGTCGGCACACGGCTGTGTGACTGGCAGTTGCAGTGAGGGTGCCTCATAGTAGTCTCTGGGAAGCAGTACCAGGTAGTCCTAGTAAGTTAAGACCAAAAGGACAATTACTCATTTGATGGTGGCCCTTCTTTAGTAATAAAGCTGTCAAGCATACCAGCTAAGTTAATAATAACCAGGTGACGCTCGCCATGTAAACTCTCAACAGCAGCTGCTTCCTTCTGCCCTGACTTACCAAAATACACAAAGCAATGCCTCACAGGTGCTTCAAGCACTGGAGATACACATCTCAGGGTGCTATGTTTTTGTATTCAAGTCTCAGGGGAAATTTTACCATCTCTTCTGGGTTGTTTATAAATTCAAAAAGAAACAAAGGTAATAAGCTGTCAACTGATAACACGTTTCTTTGAGGTACCAGTTGCTTTCATCACCACACATCAGAACACTGCATTGTAGATCACGTATCACGGCTTTTTATTCCCACACCCAAGCAATGCTCACTGGCATGTATAAAAAACCAGCGTTTTGTGATCCTGGTGAATCACAGACTGGAACTGGCTGCCTGCCTGTCCTAGGAGAGAAGAGGAAGAACGCGTTCCATGGAGTGTGCCAGATGAAGCCCACAGTGTAAATTCAGCTAAACAGCTCTTCAGGAAAGAGCAGACCTCCAGGTTTCTGAAACGCTGATGGTTTGACAGCTTTGGGGAAATGCTGGCATCGCCACCTGTGTGCAGAGGGAAGGACAGGGGTGGGAGCGGGTGGTGGGGTGGATGTCTGCCATGACTGTGAAGAGACTCATACACCAGCCATAAGGCTTTCTCTCCCTTCAGCACCCTCAATGTGTCCAGAATGGAGAGGAAGAGAAATGTATGGAGAGGAAAAGTGGCATATGGTTGCCCAGGGGTTTCACTGTTCTACTTGGGGGTCTAACTACCCCAGCAGGCTTTATTTCAACAGTGATTATTGTTTTCTAAGTTTCCTTAGGTTGGGACCATAGCTCCTCATTACTTTATGGTCCCACAGATCCTAGAATAGTTAAGGTTGATAGTAGGTGGCTGGTAAAATATCTGTAGAAAAAATAGGATCATCACATGATGCATGTGTATGTGTTACTACACAACTGCACCAACTGTCATCAAGTATCTTCCGTGCCTATGAAGTAACATAATGAGCTTCTCTCCATGAATCCAACTTTGTACCCATTACTGCCATCAAAGGGACTTTCCTCATCCTTATTTCTAGCATCTATGAAAAATTCTAAAACTTTGGTAAAGCAACAAAGCTTTCTACCAAGAAGATACAAGAACAACAGGGATTGAATGCAAAGCATAACCCCTCGCATGATGTTCATAAATTCCCAGATTTGGGAAAGACCTATACGAATAAACATGATTCCTATTATACAGGCAAGAAGCAAATGAGGCAGGCTTGGAGCTAAAGAACTTGCCCAAGATTTGCTAATATAGCCAATCAAAAGGATTGTGCCAGAAGGAAACGCTTGATGTTTTCCACTCTCAGCACCTAAAACCAAGCTTTTGGCGAAGACTTTATTTTCAAAAGACTTTCTATAAGCCAAAGCAGACATCCCCTACTCCCCACGGCTCCCTGGGTACCCTAGTAGAGTGTGAGGATAGAGCTTCTCCCTTGATGCAGGGTTCTTTGTCCAATGCAATCTGTTTGGTGAGGCTCCTGCCTACGTTCCAGGTAGAAGAAGGCAGGGAATATTGGAGAAGCACTGAGATTCTCCCTTCTCCTTCCACCACCAAGAACTCCACTGATATTAGGATCTCCTCTTCCTCTAGCTTCTTCTGATTCATTCTGCACAACTCCCGGAGAGGCTGATTTTCTTTAGATGCCCTTCTGATTCATGATGAAAAATCCCAAAGAAGCTTTTGAAAGGTAGGGACATAATGCACATTAAGGTTCTGTATTTATTCTGATAACTTTGAGTCATTATGAGTTATAGTTGTTGGGGTTTTTTTGTCTGAGAGAGGCTGGCTGAAGAATATAACAGATATTTTAAGTTAGCTCCCATGTTATTTGAGGACAAATGTCATCATAGTGTCCTATGTATAAAAGGGAGGTGGATTTTGATATCATATGGTCCCTGTGGGTCACTGTGGATTGGACCATCTCTAAAGGGGGAAGAATCCCACGGAACTCTCCACTCAGGATGACTCTTACCAGGAGGACCCCCTCTGCTTGAATACAAGCAATCCACGTCCCTGGTGCAATTGAAAACGGGTCTGCCAAACCATTTCTGGGGACGGTGACAAAGGCTGGCTCCTTACTCGGCAGGAAGAGGACTTCTTTGCTTTGAGCAGCACCTATCAGAAATGAAAAGAATTGCCCAAGGCACTGGTCTAGCAATCACTGTTATGATTTTGGATTTTCAGTTTTGAACATTCGGTTTACATCAGAAGAAGCTTCAGGTGGGTAATGAGCATACTTACTGATCAGATTTACTGATTTTATTTTTTTAATGTTTATTATTTTTGAGAGAGAGAGAGAGAGAGTGACAGAGTGTGAGCAGCAGAGGGGCAGAGAGAGGGAGATACAGAATCTGAAACAGGCTCCAGGCTCTGATCTGTCAGCACAGAACCCAACGCATCGCTTGAACTCACAAACTGTGAGATCATGACTGAGCCACCCAGGAACCCCTTGATTTTACTCTTTCTAATTGTATATTTGCATCACATACTTATAAAACAGACTAGAAAGATATTGATAAGATGTTAATGGTGATTATATTATGAATACTTCTTAAATTTAAGTGATTAAGTATGTTAATGCATATAAACTGCTTAGAAAATTTTGTTGCATGCAAGTGTTAACACATTACATTAGATATTAAATTATTTTATTCTTTTGCTTTCTATGGAGGAACATGTGTTCATTCTGAAGTAAGAAAAAGTTTTGGTTTTCTGTTTGTTCTCAGGATGCAAAGTGTTTTCTTCTGCATGAAACAAACAGTCGGCCTTCTGTAGAAGGTTCAGAAACAAACCAAACTGTTGCATCACAGTCCAACTGAGGTTTTTTTTCTGAAGAAATGTTTGCCCCAAATCCTTGCATTCTTTCTACAAACATCCCCTAGATCTAGACCCTGGGCATGAGGCAGCACACACAGTCAGCATGGCCTTTGCTCCCCAATGGTGGGATGGGAAAGGTGAGAGATTACAGACGATAAAACAGGAGAGTCTGGCACAGCGAGACAGTCGTGTTTGGGAGGAGGCCTAGGTTACCATGGGAATCCACAACCGAGGCCCCTGGCTCAGATGTGAGGGCTTAGGAAAGGTGTCCTAAGCAACGGAAAACAAGCCACAATGTATTCCACCTGTTCGAGTTAACGGAGGGCAAAGTGCTGATGAAATTGTCATCTAGGAGGCATCGGGGTCTATTAGAAAGTCTAAAGTCTAAAGACTCAAGACCCCAACTTGTCTATAAAGACCAGCTGTGCACTTAGGCAATTTACTAAACCTCTCAGCTCTGTTTCCTCTTCAAGCCTCATCGGTTCACAAACTTATCATGTGAGGAAAGCAATGCCAAAGTAGCTGTTTATGATAAAGCAAGCCCACTAGTTCTTCGTGTTATTCACTGTCACTCAGCCTCACAACCTGGTTGACACAACTCAGGAGCATCACCACTGCCCCCGTGACTTTGCCATGGAGGCTGAACAAAGATGCTTGTATTTCGATCTTAAGTTAGATTTCCACTGGCACCATGTGGGGTCCATGTGGTACTCCTAATGTTTCCTGGAATCTGTTTCCAGGAAGGGTAGAAGCGCTAACTTCTTGCAGAACAGACTTCCAGGCCTCAGCTCTGACAGTGCTGAGATCTGTGCCCTGACTGTGATTTTCATCTGCCCTCAGGGATCCCTCAACCCTCAGTGAGGTGTGCATGCTTCTCTCTGGAATTCTCTTGGGCTTCACGCTTTACCACATTCACCTTAAAACTCCCTACCCTCGCCCATTTCCCCTTGGACTATTTGGTTTGCCTGAAACAATGGGAAAATGTAGGGGAGTCACCAGAGAGGTGACACCCACTCTATCAGGAACGAGTTATAACTTAGCTTTGCCCTGTGGTGACATCACAGGCCATGGGGTTCAGCCACGACACACAGGTTGTTACATCAATTTTTTAAAAGACAGTTAATAACAAACTTAAGAGCAAAATTTAAATAAGCAGAATGGTTAGAGATTGAAAAGGGAGCAAAGGACAGGGCACTACTCTAATAGTACTCTGCATCAGACTTCATCTTTTCTCAGGAGGTACCTTTGGGAAACCTGGAGAAAATGCTTCACTAATTCATCATTTCTTAATCCAAAAGAGGCTTGAAAATTTGCCTACCTGCCTCAGCCCAGGATGGATAAATAGTCACGTGGCCAGAGACGGCTTCAGCTCCAGGGTTGATATATTTCAGAATAACACGAAACAAGGTGGCACTTGACTCCCCCACATTCAACATGATCCTCACTTCATTCTGGAAAATACCGAAAAGCCATGAAGTATAGAACTGGCTAAAAGAAATGGTAGCCAAACCGTGACTCTACTCTATTCAAGTTTCACTAGTGGGCTTGTAGTGTGTACACACACCCACATACTCTGTTTCTCTCGCACACACACGCTCTCACTCAGCAAGCACCAAATAACTAACTCTGTGGAAGATAGAAATAAGCAGGCCTAATCATAAATTTAAATCACTTACAATTAAAGTTATAGTGAAAAACCATTCCCTCAGGAACTGAGTTCTTCTTTTGGCCCTTTTGGAATCAGGCAGACAGAGCAGAGTATTAGCAGGACTAGTTTAAGGAAAGCCATAGTGATGGGGCAGCCACCGCAGGCTGGGAGAAATAAACAAGCAGAAGAGAAGGAAAGGACAGGATTATTTAACACAACCCCCCCATAGAGAGACCACTGCAGGGGCCAGGTCACATACATAAAATTCTAAATGGTCACAGAAACTGATGTCGGCCAAACAAAGGCTAAAATACTCCAAACACATTAGTGATAAAATCTGGATGTGACTAAAATGTGCTTAAATCATATAAAATTGATCTCAATCTCTAGCCAAAAACAATGTGAGCTTTTTAATTTTTAATTGTTTTTTTTTCCATCATGACAAGTGTACTCTTTAATCCCCATCACCTATTTCCTCCATCCCCCTACCCACCTCCCCTCTGATAACTATCAGTTTATTTTCTACAGTTAGGAGTCTGTTTCATGCTTTGTCTCTATCTCTATTTCTTTTTTTGCCTTTGCTTGTTTGTTTTGCTTCCTAGGTTCAACATGAGTGAAATCACACAATATTTGTCTCTCTCTGACTTATTTCACTTAACATTGTGCTCTCTAGTTCCATCCATATTGTTGCAAATGGCAAGATTTCATTATTTTTTATGGCTGAAAAATACTCCATTCCAATAACAAAAGGGACCATCCAACAAGAGAATATAGAACAGTTGTAAATATTTATGCACCTAATATGGAAGCACCTAAATAAATAAAACAGTTAATAACAAACATAAAGGAAATAATAAATAGTGATACAGTAATAGTAGGGGACTTTAAGACCCCCTTACATAAATGGACAGATCATCCAAAGAGAAAATCAATAAGGAAACAGTGGCTTTGAATGACACTCTGGACCAGATGGACTTTACAGATATATTCAGAATACACAGATATATTCAGCAGAATACACATTCTTTTTGAGCATACGTATAACGATCTCCAGAATAGATCACATTATTAGACCATAAAATAAGTCTCAAAAAATTAAAAAAGATTGAAGTTATACCATGCATCTTTTCTGACCACAAAACTACGAAACTAGAAATAAACCAAAAAAAAATTTTTTTTGGAAAGAGCACAAATACATGAAGGCTAAAGAATATGCTTTGAAACAATAAATGGGTCAACCAGGAAATCAAAAAAGGGAGGGGCCTGAGTGGCTCAGTCTGCTGAGCATCTGACTCTTGATTTCCGCTCAGGTCGTGATCTCAAGGTTCATGGGACCAAGCCCCACATCGAGGTCACCCTGTCAATGCAGAGCCTCTTAGGATTCTTTTCTCTGTCTCTCTCTCTCTAAAAATGAATAAACTTAAAAAAATCAAAGAAGAAATAAAATATTATATGGAGACAAATAAAAATGAAAACACGGGTCCAAAAATCTTTCAGAAGCAACAAAAGCTGTTCTAAGAGGGAAGTTTATGGCAACACAAGCCTACATCAAGAAGCAAGAAAAATCTCACATAAGCAACTTAACCTCATATCTCAAGACACTAAAATAAGAACAAACTAAACTCAAACCCAAAAAAAAGGAAGAAAATAATAAAGATTAGAGCAGAAATTTATGATACAGAAACTGAAAAAATAATAAGGCAGATCAATGAAACCAGGAGCTGGTTTTTAGAAAAGTCAACAAACTTGGTAAATTTCTAACCAAGCTTATCAAAAGAGGGGGGTGGATAATCAGGGGCAAATAAACCACTCATGAAAGAGGAGAAATAACAACCAACACCACAAAAATACAAACAATTGTAACAGACTATTATGAAAGCCTATATGCCAACAAATTGGAAAACTTAAAAGAAATGGATAAATTCCTAGAAACATATAACCTGTCAAAACAAAAATATGAAGAAATAGAAAACTTGAACAGATCAATTATCAGAAAAGAAACTGAATCAGTCATAATAATAATTTTTATAAAAATCCCAAAAAACAAAAGCCCGGGACCAGATAGCTTCACAGGTGAATTCTACCAAACATTTAAAGAAGAGTTAATATTTATTCTTCTCAAACCATTACAAAAAATAGAAGAGGAAGGAAAACTTCCAAATTCATTCTATGAGGCCAGTATCAATCTGCCACCAAAACCATATAAAGACACTACAAAAAAAGAGAGCTACAGGCCAACATGTCTGATGAACACAGATGTAAAAATCCTCAACAAAATATTGTGAACAGAATTCAACAAAACATTAAGATAATCATTCACCACAATCAGGTGGGATTTATTCCTGGGATGAAAGTGTGCTTTAATATTTGCAAAACAATCAATGTGACATTGCTAAGAGAAGAGATAAAAACCATAAAATCATTTCAATAGATGCAGGAAATGAATTTTACAAAGTACAACATCCATTCATGATAAAAACAAACCCTCTGCAAAGTAGATACAGATAATAAAGGCCTTATATGAAAAATGCACAACCAACATCATACTCGATGGTGAAAAATTGAGACCTTTTCCCCTAAGGTCAGAACAAGACAAAGATGTCCACTCTCACCACTTTTATTCAACACAGCTCTAGAGGTCCTAGCCATAACAGTCGACAACAGAAAGAAAGAAAAGGTATCCAGATTGGTAGAGATGTAGTAAAACTCTCACAATTTGCAAATGACATGGTACTATATTAGAGAAAACCATAAAGACTCCACTGAATGGGGCTTTTTAACCTGACAGAATCCATCTCTAAGTGTTAGTTCCATGTTGGAAATAAAAATTCAAATATGTGTAAGTATCAAGTTAGCAGTGACTTCATGGACACCACCAAGGTCTGCTGACTTAAATACTTAAAGAAACCCATCATTTGAAATTCATTCCTTTATGCTAACCAGTTATTCTTTCAAACTGTAAACACCTATGAGAAGCTAACCACCTTGATCAGACTCTCAGTCATTCACAACCTGTTATGACTTAATAGAATCACTGGGGTTTTTTGTTTTGTTTTGTTTTTTCTCTGAATAATGAAGATCAGGAAGGAGCTGAAGAAACTGAATTCCTACATTGGGGAGAAGAAGAAAGCAGTGAGGTGTCGGATCCTAGGTACTGTTTGAGAAAGCAGCCTGACAGGGGATCCTATGGAGGCAACAAGCGACATTAGAACTAATTATGGCTCCCAGAGAACTGTGAACCTGTCCCCATTTCTCTAAGTGGTGACTTCCATGAATATAACAGGTATTAGTTCTGAACCTACTAAGGACAAATATTGGGTAACCATGGTCATCAATTTACCTCTTTTGTTATGAATTTCTCCACTGAGAAACACGGTTTGAAGGGACCCACCTCAAAGAGAAATTCTGAGAACAAAACTCAATGACTATAGAGAAATTATTAGTTATAAATATTGTATAAATTCTAAAGATAACAAGAAAATGTGTAAATTCCTTAATTATTCCAACAAAAAGCCAAGAGAGATGGACACAGAAGAGGAGAATGAAGGAAAGGAGAAATACAGGAAAGGAAATTTAAGTAGCACTAACAAATTCCTCATTTATCTTAGTTTTTATTCATACAGTAATTCAGAGTTCAAAAAGGCAAAAAAAAAAAAAAAAGCACTGGTCAAATATTAACAATGTACACATTGAAAGTATTTAATTCAACTCATTATTAATCTTCACAAATGGCTTTAAAGAAAAGTGTCTCTTGTGCTAAAATATAGACTAATCTCATTTGGGAAGCAATTTCTTATAAAAAGTCTCCAGAGATAAACACCAGTTTCTTTTTTAAAATTCTTTCTTTGTCTGATTTGGTGACCAAATTAACTGTGAAATTGATACATATACTTATGAGTTTAAATCCAATCCTACCCTATACTCCATCTGTAGTCTGGAGAAAAAGAATCCTGGAGTCAGTTTTGGGGATAGTTCACCCTTTAGGAGGCCTCACTGTTAGTGTTGCCGGTAACTAGGTGCGCTATCCTGCCATGAACCAACTTCTTAGAGGCTACATACCTGTACTGAGGTCATCTGAGCATACCCTCTCCAGCTAAACTCAGGAAACTCCAGGGGATCAAATCCAAACCGAAGTTCTCTTCCGTTAGGTATAGTGCCGTCTTCAATCTCATACTTCATGTGATGCAAATCCGGGAAATAGTAGTTGTTTTCGGGTCTTTTGTAAATAAAAAGTAAACATGGATACAGCAAGTTAGGTCCATCAATAATCCAAATATTCTTTAATCTCAGTAGCTCTGCTAAAAGAACTCCCACCAACAAATAAGAGTGCAACAAATAAGAACAAATGAAAGAGCCACTACCTGCTTTTTCTTTAAATTATTACTTTCATTCTTGTAAACATTCTCATAAAACACACCTAACACTTATCATTCTAAGCAGTAAAATGAGAAAATCATTTAGCAAAACCACAGTGGTAGTAGCCTTCAATATGTTCTAAATGGTTGCCAACAACTTAGCAAAGTCAAATTAGGTTATTTACTATAAATTCATTAATTCAATCATTCATTTATATACTCATATTCACTCATTACACAAATATTAACATATACGTACCAATGCTATTGTTAAGTACCATATATAAAATAGTGAAGGTGACATAAAATATTTCATATGCTAGGTTTACAAGTTAATATATTTTTCTCACTATATATATTTTTTCAATCATTAGAATAACTTTTTTTATGCTTTGTTCTTTCTTAAATTATAAGTCTATAAATGGATTCCTTTCAAGAGTTAATCATAGAGAAGAATCAAAAATATTTCAACACTGGGGCACCTGGGTGGCTCAGTCGGTTAAGTGTCCAACTTTGGCTCAAGTCATGATCTCAAGCTTTATGAGTTCAAGCCCCACATAGGGCTCTGTGCTGACAGCTCAGAGCCTGTAGCCTGTTTCAGATTCTGTGTCTCCCCCTCTCTCTGCCCGTCCCTAACTCATGCTCTGTCTCTGTCTCTCTCTCAGAAATAAATAAAAACATAAAAAAATAAATAAAAATATTTCACCACTTATGTGACATTTCATATTCAAACTACTTGAAGTTCTTCAAAATGGCACATTTTGATAATCCAGTCACAAACTAACAGCAGTTAGTGGATTTAAAGCCATAATGATCAATTAGTCAAAGATAATAAAAGGTCATGGTCCTGTATTGCAAATAGAATTACAAATGCTTACAATTTCTCTGGAAGTGATACACAAAGACCCTTAAAAATGTTCATACCCATTGACCCAGTAATTCTACTTCCAGGAATATATTCTAAAGAATGATTTTTATATACACTGTCAAAGAGTTAACATAAAAGAATGTTTATTATAGAGAAAGCTTAGAGGCAATGTAAATGTACAATTATGAAATAATTAAAGAAATTATGAAATATTATATAACCATTAATATTTTGGAAGACTAATGATAATGGAAAATGTCTGCAGTATCATGTGAAGAAATTGATATGAATTATATGAAGAAAATATAATACTAATCTGTATTCACAGAAGAAGCCTAGGGGTGCCTAGGTAGCTCAGTCAGTTAAGCTTCCGACTTTGGCTTAGGTCATGATCTTGTAATTTGTGAGTTCAAGCCCCATGTCGGGCTCTGTCCTGTAGCTTGCTTCAGATTCTGTGTGTGTGTGTCTCTCTCTCTCTCGCTTTCTCGCTCTTGTTCTCTCTCTCTGCCCCTACCCCACTCATGCTCTGCCTCTCTCTCTCAAAAAGAAAATAAAAATTAAAAATTAAAATTAAAAAAAAGCCTAGAAAAAATAAATAAAAAATATCAAAAGGGGTTATCTCTGGATGGTGAAATAATGATTTTTCTTTGCCTTTTATTTTTAGGGACTTATTAAAACATTACAACAAACATATATTACATTTATTATCACAAAAATTATTTAGAAAACAAAGTGAATGTGAATGCTTTCTACACTTGTAAGAAAAATGAAAAAATGTTCAGATGATATCATAAACATTTGGGAGGAATTGAGAACAAAAGGACAAAAGATTTACCAACCCAGAGAAAAGGTGGCATAGTTCAATGCTGGTTTGTTACCCTTACATCCTAGTTACAATTTACCACTAAATCCAAAAACACGTTCTAAATTTCATATGTGTGTATTGTCTGTGATGTTAAAAAAAAAATCAATATTTTTGCCTCGGGATGGGTAATTTAATTCTTATTAAAGTTGCATTATTTCTACCTGAAAATTTAAAAAAAAATTTTTTTTTAATGTTTTTTATTTATTTCTGAGAGAGAGAGACAGCGTGAGAAGGGGAGGGTCAGAGAGAGAGGGAGACACAGAATCCAAACAGCCTCCAGGCTCTGAGCTAGCTGTCAGCACAGAGCCTGACGCAGGCCTCAAACCCACGAACCGTGAGATCATGACCTGAGCCGAAGTCAGACACTTAACCGACTGAGCCACCCAGGCGTCCCTATTTCTACCTGAAAATTAACCAATTGCCTACACAGTTGGAAGGAAAAAACTTACATTGGTTAAGTAGGGGGAAGGCTCAGCTTATCAACAGGAAGGTGAAAAGAGATAAAACATGGGTGGAACATGTTTCCAAACCTATTTACAAAATTCCTCTGGTCCATCATCTGCTTCGTTAGCCTTCAGGGAAACATATCCACAGATGTAGTCTCTTTCACATACCTTTTATTATGCGGCCCAGCAGTGACTGCCATTTAGAAATGACTGAAGAAAGCTCAGCTGGGTTGCTCTGACTTTAGAATTCAAATGCTGGAAACATCAAGGGAAAGGAGAGAAACACCATACCAACTAAATACAGATAATTTACCTTAACTACACCAAAGATTTCTTAACTAACCTGTTGATAAAGCAGAATGTTAAAGATACATGCAATTTAGAAGTTGCATTTCACAGACCAGTGTATAATTAAAAGCCAGAATATTAAAAATTAGTTTTTTCTTCCCTCATACCATCCTTCAGGTAAACATACTACAAAAACAAACAAAAAAAACCTGCAGGCCAGTATCTCTGACTAACATAGATGCAAAAATCCTCAATAAAATATTAACAAACAGAATCCAACAATACATTAAAAAAACCATTCACCATGACCAAGTGGATTTATACCTGGGATGCAAGGGTGATTCAATTATTTGCAGATCAATCAATGTGATATGTCACATCAATAGGAGAAAGGAGGAAAACCATATGATCATTTCAATAGATGCAGAAAAATCATCTGACAAAGTATGACTTCCATTCATGATAAGAATCCTTAACAGAGTAGGTTTATAGGGAATACACCTCAACACAATAAAGGCCTTATATGAAAAACCCACAGCAAACTTCATACTTGGTGGGGAAAAATGCTTTCCTCCTAAGATCAGGAACAAGATAAGGATATCCACTCTCACCACTTTTATTCAACATAGTACTGGAAGTCCTAGCCACAGCAATCAGACAAGAAAAGAGAATAAAAGGCATCCAAATTGTTAAGAAAAAAGTAAAACTTTCACTATTTGCAGATGACATGATAATATACATAGAAAACCATAAGGACACCAAAAAACTACTAGAACTAATAAATGAATTCAGTAAATTCACAGCATACAAAATCAATATACAGAAATCTGTTGCATTTCTACACACTAATAAAGAAGTAGCAGAAATAATAATTAAGAAAACAGTCCCATACTATATGGGTAGTCCCATACTACCCAAAGCAATCTACTCATTTAATGTAATCCCCATCAAAATATCAACAGCATTTTCCACAAAACTAAAACAAATAATCCTAAAATTTGTATGGAACCACAAAAGACCGCAAATTAGCCATCTTGGCAATCTTCAAGTAATCTTGAAAAAGAACAAAGCTAGAGCTATAACAATCCCAGATGTCCACATATACTACAAAGCTGTAGTAATCAAAAACACTGTGGTACTGGCACAAAAGTAGACACGTAGAAAACAGAAATGCCAGAAATAAATCTACAATTATACGGTCAATTAATCTTCGACAAAGGAGACAAGAATATGTAATGGGAAAAAAACAGTCTCTAACAATACTGTTGGGAAAACTAGACAGCCACATGCAAAAGAATGAAACTGGACCATTTTCTTACACCATAGACAAAAATAAACTCAAAGTGGATTAGGGACCTAAATATGAGACCTGAAACCATAAGTATCCTTAAGGAGAGCACAGTCTGTAATTTCTCTGACAATTGGCCATAGCAACTTTTCTAGATATGTCTCCTAAGGCAAGAAAACAAAAGCAAAAATAAACAATTGGGACTACATGAAAATTAAAAGCTTCTGCACAGCAAAGGAAACAACCAGCAAAACTAAAATACAATCTATTGAATGGAGAAGATATTTGTAAATGACATGTCTGATAAATGGCTAGTATCCAAAATATATAGATAACTTATATGATTCAATACCAAAAAACACATAATCCAATTTAAAAATAGGCAAAAGACATGAACAGACATTTCTCCAAAGAAGATCTACAGATGGCAAACAAATACAAGCAGAGATGCTCAACATCAGTCATCATCAGGGAAATACAAATCAAAACCACAGTGAGATGTCACCTCACATCTGTCAGAATGGCTAAAGAAACAAGTGTTGAGGAGGATGTAGAGAAAAGGGAACCCTCGTGCATGGTGAGTGGGAATTCAAACTGGTGTAGTCACTGTGGAAAACAGTATGGAGGCTCCTCAAAAAATTAAAAATAGAATTACCATATAATCCATTATTTCCACTTCTGGCTATTTACCTCAGAAATACTAACTTGAAAACAAACTTGAAAAGACACATGCACCCCTCTGTTTACTGCAGCATTACTTACAACAGCCAAATTATGGAAGTAACCCAAGTGTCCATCCATCAATAGATGAGTGAATAAATAAGTTGTCATATATATGTGTGTATGTATATGTTTACACACACACACACACACACACACACACACAGGAATATTATTCAGCCATAGAAAAGAATGAAATCTTGTCATTTGTAATAACATGGATGGATCTAGAGGATATAACACTAAGTGAAAGAAGTCAGTCAGAAAAAGACAAATACCACCTGATTTTACACATATGTGGAATTTAAGAAATAAAACAAATAAATGAAAAAAGAGAAAGATAAAAAACAGACTCTTAAATATAGAGAATAAACTGATGGTTACCAGAGAAGAGATGAGTGGGGAGATGGGTGAAGTAGGTGAAGGAGATCAAGAGTACACTTATCATGATAAGCAGAGTAATGTATAAAGTTGCTGAATCACTGTATTTTACACCTGAAACTAATACAATACTGTATGTTAATTATACTGGAATTAAAAAATTATTTTAATCTATAAAATATTAAATATGACAAGGCACAGAGACCGTATGCTGCCATACCCGTGACAGCCCTTCTGAGAGCTCAGTCTCCACTTGCTCCCTTGCTCCTACAGTTCATTTTATTTTATTTATTTATTTTTAATTGCAGAAGTTTTTTTTTATTTTATTTTTTATATTTTTAATGTTTTTTATTTATTTCTAGGAGAGAGAGAGAGAGACAGCGTGAGCAGGGGATGGTCAGAGAGAGAGGGAGTCACAGACTGAAACAGGCTCCAGGCTCTGAGCTGGCAGTCAGCACAGAGCCCGACACGGGGCTCGAACCCACGAACCGCGAGATCATGACCTAAGCGAAAGTCGGACGCTTAACCGACTAAGCCACCCAGGCGCCCCTCCTACAGTTCATTTTAATTAGCTTCTAGAAGAGATGAGGGATTTTGTCCCACTTCAAGAGTTTTCTTCCCTCACATCCCACTGCACCCAGTGTAACACACTTGGCCTCTCCACGCCTGCAGTCATGGATCCCAAGGGAGAAGTTGGACCTGAATCTCCTTGGCCCAGGAGCCTGATCACTTGCTGGGCTCCTCCATGCTGTGGCTTTTACATGGAGGTTTGCCCACGGGAACCCATCTCAAGCGTCCAGCTCTAGTCTTGTCCACCTGGCTTTTTATACCTGTGGGAACTATCCAGTGAGGCAGCTCTGTGACCTACAAAGTAGACGTCTTTAGGGCAACCTTACCTCCTGCTTTAAGGGGGTTCCCTGACAAGTGTCCAGATTTCAAATGACAGTACAGCTTCATCAGCCCTCTCTCTTTAGGATGGCTTGTCTCCTCACAGGAAGTGTCAGCACAGAAAGGACTCTCTGAGAGTCTTCCACATCAGTGCCGGAGGAGACCTCCCTGAAGACTCACCGCTGGCACGCCTTCCCCACGACATGCTCTCGGCAATGGCATCCTCCGGAGGGCCCACTGCACATGGGGGTGATTGCTCCGCCAATGTCACATTGACATCCTAAAGGTCAGGAAGCAACAGTGGTGACCCATCAAAGCATCTCCACGGTGTAGCTCTCCCTCCCTCTATGAGAAGTGAGAATCAGTAAGATCAGGCTGTCTCCTACTCCCTGCCACATCTCATATCCAGCTGATGTTAGAAATCTATAGGGACCTCTCAAACTGAGATGGGAGGTGCCCCCAAAAGTCCACCTGTAAGCAGGAGGTACACTTGAAGGTCAGCTCCAACATGGCTGTCTGGCGGAAGGGGACAGGACCCCAGGAGCTAAACGTGATTTAGCAACACAGTGCCCTTATCAACAACGTCTGCTAATGGGAGTCTGTGGGAGAGATACAACAGGAGCATGTGGGGCCACACTCCTTTAGTTGTATTATTTAATACAATATCATCTCTAAAATCTGGTGTGAGCTCTTTTGATAATACAAAAAAATCCTCAAAATGACTAAGTCTTCAAGTCATTTATGAAATTAACAGATGACTCCCCATCCATCCCAATTGTGTTTTCTATAATTAAACCAACAATATGCTGGTAGAAGAGAAGTGGAAGCAGCCCCGATTGCAATTTATTACTAGTTTCAACTGAGTATTTGGCCCAATTCCCTAGACAGAATTTTTTAGTCCCATCCCATCAGAAAGACTGCATGAAGGAAGACCAGGAACTCAGAAGAAAGATGATCTGGACAGTCTCTGCCCATCAACGCTGGCTATACTCAGGACCCACTGGAAGTATTTACCTTGACACCCAAAGTAATTGCTCATTTCCAAAGCATAATATCCATCTTCACACGTGTCACAGGAATCGCCACTGACATGAGACTTGCAGTGACAGTCACCATCTTGCTGCCAAATAAACAAGGTGACAAAATTCGATGAGATCACACAATTTGCTGATCTTCGAGATTTAAAACTGCCTCACTGTATAACATGAAGCAGTGTACGGCGAGGACCTGAAAACGTCCAGAGAGATTAGCGTGCCTTGTACAATTACAGAGGCACTAATACCCTCCCAGGGAGACCCCAACATCTACTGCTCTACTATTCCACGAACAACTGGCCCACGTATTACCTGCCCACACTCTCCGATTCCGCTCACTGTTCCCGCCACGTGGCACTGGCATTCTGTGAAAATAAGACAGCATCTTTGGACCAAGGTTGCACAAAGGACAGCCCTTGGCTCTGGAAACATGACCCAGCAGCAATACTACATGTGTGGTCACTTTGGGGTGCATTTCAGCAGAATTCCAGTTTGCTCCATTGAGGCCTAAAATGGGACTGCTTTCTGGGGTCAGCAGAACTACCAGATCAATACCATCCACCTACAAAGAGTAATGGCCAGTTTGTGACCACTCTAAGACAAAAGCTGCAACATCCAGGGATTTTTAATGTCAAGGTCATTACTGATACGCTTCCATGAAAACAAACTCTACCTAAGGACATATTCACTCCACTTAGCCACCTTTAACTTCGTGTTTTTAAGTTCCTGTCCTGGCTTCCATCTAAGCATAAAATAAAACTAAAACCAAACCAGAAAGAGAGGTTATAAAAACAAGGCGATGTAAAACCACTTATCAAGTAGCTGCCTTTGCAAACAACAAAATACATATGGAAACAGGATATAAATCCCTTGCTGGGATTTTCAAAATGACAGAAATTATGCCAAAAGTAGGGGGGAAAACATCAAAATATTTACACAGAATTTCAGACAAATTGAACTTATTAAATAAATAGCTCTGTTGTGGGTTTAGTCACTGAAGTAGATCAAATTAAGAGGAAGTTGCAATATAGTAAATTATTCTGTGTAAAAACCTTACCTGAACATCCGCTGGGGTTTTCTTTGGCCAGATTCCAATATAACGGTTTGCAGATGTTGCATGAAGGACTTCCCACATGAAGCTTGCACTGACAGTATCCCTTCAAAAGAAACAAACCAGCACTTGACATCTCAGAATTAAGACATGTTTTCAAACATACGTTCAGAACAAAGCTTGTCACAGAATTATATTTTGGCTATGAAAAGTAAGTGAAGTGTACCCAGAGGGAATAAAAGTTTTGGGTTGATTTCAATCAACTGCTCACGGCTCTTCTTTTATTATTCATTTATTTTTTTCTACACCTAATCTGGACTTGTGGTTAAAATAAAACTGAAAAATACAGAAAAAGGAACATTTAAAAATCACTTATATTCATAGAGTTGACGTTAACTGTTGATTCTATGACAGCAGGAACTATTGATTTAAATGGGAAATTACTTCAATATTTAACATGCTGAGAATCAGCAGAGAATGTTGTTTATCTGAAAGTACTTGTGTTATATGCAAAGGTCACTGCCTCACTGTAAGGTTGCAGAACGTCTCTCCGTCGACATCCCTCGAATGCCTGGAGGTCCACCATCTCCAGGCTTTCAAGCTAAGAAGACAGTTTCTAAAGCACTGAGAAATACCATAGTATTCTGATCAAAGCCATATCAAATAAACTGCAATTATTTCATACACAGACAGCTTTATTTAATGTGCACTTAGCCTTAGATTTTCTTAATTTTAATTATCTACGTCAGGCTTATGTGCAAGGGCCCATGGTGGCAACACCCTCAGAGTAACCTACAGGAAGAATTAAATACTAGGGCTCTGGAATTAAAAGTTTAAATGAGTTTTATTCTTCTGTTTTTGAAAAAAAACAAAATAAACATGATCACATATGCACTTTGAACAAGAACAATGACCTTTTAAGCAATTTGGTTTCAGATCTTATTTTTGTATTATTTTTATAATTTTTTTAAAACTTAGAGAGACAGAGTGTGAGCAGGGGAGGGGCAGAGAGAGAGGGAGACACAGAATCCAGAGGAGACTCCAGGCTCTGAGCTGTCAGCACAGAGCCCAACACAGGGCTCAACTCCCATACCACGAGATCATGACCTGAGCCGAAGTCCAACATTTAACTGACTTAGCCACCCAGGGGCCCCTCAGATCTTATTTTAATTTACTTTTAATTTGAGGAAGCTCCCAAACGTGTTAGTCTGTAACATGTATCAAAATGCATCAGTTAGAATTGTAATCCTTTTATAATTCTCTACTTACCAAACTAGAGTCCAGGGTACCAGCTGGGTCACAGGCACTGCTGGAGCCTATATGTGATTTAGAAATATTTAAAAAAAAAATTTTTTTTTTTTAGAGAGAGAGAGCATAAGTTGGGGAGAGGGGCAGAGAGGAGACAGAGAATCTTAATCAGGCTCCACGCTCAGCCCAACACGGGGCTCCATCCCTCGACTCTGGGATCATGACCTGAGCCAAAATCAGGAGCTGGACACTTAATCAACTGAGCCACCCAGATGCCCCTAGAAATATTTTAAACGCTTGGTGTTTTTACGTTGGTTTGTCTCTTGGTTTGTTTTGATGTTTTGAGTTTTAAAAGTTTTATTTTAAAAACAATAACGCATCTACACTTATATTTTTGGAGAGATGAGTGGCAAGGACTTTGCATGTAATTCAGAGAAAGGCACATCCCAAATAACCTTTGTGGTCCTTAACTTCCAAATCACCCCTTTTGCCACTTAATTCCATTTCCTGCCTACTACTCCAAGTTCATTTCTGACTGATGATGAAGGAGATTAGGGAAAAGAGATTCTAGAATTTTGAACATTTTTAGGATTGTCCAGAAGAGGGCAATATTGTACCAAGAGACTTTTTAATTGTCCGTTACATGGAAGTCACAGAATTTTTCAAGTACGTATTTTAGTCAGCCAAGACTTAATTCTTTAATTATCACAATCCCCTTGTTCCCCATCTGCACTAAAATTATTTCTAAAATTAATTAGTTTGCCTTCCTGCCTTAGTCAATACCATATTACAAGCCCCATATAATCCATCTTCAATAAAGCAAGATTTTGCAGTGTCTCCTTTTGCCTTTGTCTCTCCTTTGTTTCCTTCAGCTTGTCCCTTGATGATCTCAGGTGTGTCTCTCTTTGTTCTGTTCTGATGTTCCCTCACATTCCTCTTTAAGAGTGAACATGTCCCTCCCACCCTTTGCTGTTTCAGCCTGACCGTGCCCTGTCTGTGGGTGCTGCCCAGGCTGACCACCACTGCCATCTGGCTCTGGAGCAGTTATCGTGTCTGCCCCGCACCTCTGCTCAGCAGCCACAGCGCTTCCTTCCACTCCTGACCCCTGGGGAGGTGAGCCACACACCGGGATGGCCTTGCACTCTGGGGATCTTCAGGCCTTCTCGAAAGTGAACTGCCCCCTCTAACTACTGGCTACAATTTCCAAGCAAGAAAACCTGGTCTCTTGACCAGGATTCTGGTGAGCAAGGTTTGAGGGGATCACGTTGGAGGTGAATGCCGAGCTCGAAGCGCTCCCAAGAGCAGGAATAGTCCAAGAAAACCATTCTGCAAGTGAGAAGTCTGGTGCAGACTCCCTGGAACACCTCTCCTCAGCAGGGAGAGCTGCCTCTAAAGCAGCGAGCAGGCAGGAGATCCTCCCACCGGAGGCTGTTACGGCACCTCCCCCCTCCCCAAAACGGCACAGGCATCTTCTCTCTGTGCTCTCTGACACAGAGCACGGCAGACTCTCCGTGTCTCCTGATCGGCGAGGGGTGAATAGTGGGGATGACCTATGACGGTAGCAGTGTTTCCCCTTGGCTCACTCTTTCCAAACTCAATAGGCTCTAGGTCACCCCCTCTCCCCTCACACCTGTGCTGTGTGAAGACAACCTCCCCAGGAGGCCAGGGGCAGCAAGGAGACAAGGGCAGAAACACAGCAAAAGTCCTGCTCTGCCTACCAGCAAGGGGACCCACTACAACCATCCCTCAAGGGACTACAGGGCAGCCAGCATCAGTGCTACGAGCCTGGAACTAGAGAGAAGGCAGAAAGACTTGGGAAGAGGTCAAGGAACACTTGTAGCTAAAGGGGGTCACCTTTGCCACACTGCTCGACACAGAGAATTTACATGCAAATCAAGAAGTAAAAATTTATAACACGTGGGAATTAATTTTTTTTTCTGGGAATAAAGCATTTCTGGATTCCTTTGAGGATGCGCATAGTATACATGCATTTCCAATGGACTTGAATTGGGGAGGAACCAGGCAAATTAGGGTCAAATGTGTGGAGGTGACCAGTGGTGGGTCCCCTAGGCTTGTCTGGGAGTCTGGCCACACACATTTCAGAGATGAACCCGCCCTCTGGCATTCTGCCATCTTCCTTACCTTGGCAGTGGGGGAAATCAGAGGCTCCTGAGAGACACCTGTCACACTGCTGTCCAGTAAACCCCGGCTGGCATTCACACTGCCCCGTCACTGGGCTGCAAGGTGTTTGGTAGGAGCCAAGGACTGAACACTGGCAGGCTGCATAAGAAGATGTCAGTCAGACCCAGGGCAGCAGGGCTTGGATAAGAGCACGACAGTGGGTCAGAGAGACCCAAATGCAAATTCAGCTATGTGACGTATTCGGAGAGGCATGGCTAGGTAGTGGCAGACTTAGAGCATTCACCACAATTCCACTTTCCTACTTTATATCCAGCCAGCCAGAGGACTCTGATTAAAGGCGTGCTGTGTTCAATGGCACTGGGACGAGATGTTGGGGTGGAGGTGATTAGGAAAGACACACATTCCCTGACCTCAGAGAGCTAAACATCCAGAAGAGGGACTAGAGAATTTCTGACATGGTATGAAGCACCTCCCCTGCGCCCACCACTGCTAAAAAACCATCAAAGAAATGAAGAAACGTGCGTAATGCCCTTCAGCTGGCTCTTGGCAGGCTGCGAGACAAAAACTCACGTCCATTGCCATCTGGCTCAGCTTTCTTTCACAGCCTCATGATCCCCTGGGCCTGGCTGGCTACAGAGATCAAGTCCCTCCCAAGGGGCACATTATTGAGGAGATGTTCTTAGGTTCTGTGATTGTTAATTTTTTTTTTTAAGGTGAGGCGGGGAGCCTGGGTGTCTCAGTCAATTGAGGGTCTGACTCTTGATTTTGGCTTAGGTCAGGACCTGGCAGTTCATGGGTTTGAGCCCTGTGTCAGGCTCTGTGCTTTCAGAATCCTGCTTGGGATTCTCTCTCTCTCTCTCTCTCTCTCTCTCTCTCTCTGTCTCTCTCTCTCTCTCTTCCTGCCTCTCCACTGCTGGTGTGTGCACATGCACTCTCTCTCTCATAAAGAGACATTTAAAAAAATAAAAAAATATTTTTAAAAAGTAAAAATAAATAAAAGGTGAGCGTTTTTATTTTTTATTATTATTATTTTTTAGAGACCCCATAACCCTGGGATCATGACCTGAGGCGAAATCAAGAGTCGGACACTCAACAGGTTGAATCACCCAGGTGTCCCTGTAATGGTTAATTTTTATATGTCAACTTGGCTATGCTATGAAGCTCAGATGTTTGGCAAGCACCAAAGTAGATGTTGCCATGAAAGGTTTTAAGATGTAACTAATATTTAAATAAGTTGACCTTGGGTAAAGCAGATACCTCACCCAATCAGCTGAAAGCCTTAAGAGAAAGAAGTTCCCAAAGAAGGAGATCTACCTTCGGACTTGAGCTACCCTATCAGCTCTCCCCAGGGTCTCCAGTCTGCCAGCCTGCCCTGCAGATCTCAGACCCACCAGCCCCTACAATAATGCCAATTCCTTAAAATAAATCTCTACACACACACACACACACACACACACACACACACACACACACACACCCTATGGTTCTGCTTCTCTGAAGAACCCTGATTAACAGAAGCTCTTTCTGCTACTTCCGTCTTACAGGAAAGTGAATGCAGAAACACACGCAGGCATTTGAGACAGCACAGTGGTGGCACCTCCAGCCAGCATAATGTGGGGGGCATCCCCCCTGGCTCCTACGGCCACAGAGGCTGTCTAGGGAGCCTCAGGAGACACAGCTACACTCCAGAGGTGAAAATAAACAGCGTGGCACATGGTTTTAAGCCGTGAATTACTCCATCTGGCATCTCATGTCTCGTTTTGATCCAGCCGTCAGTGACGGCTGCCAAATTCCACACCCAAACGTCAACATTGGCAGCCCCTTTCACTCCTGGAAATACTATAACGTCTTATAAACACTTTCATTCTGCTCCATGTGCTGGTCCAGGTCCTTTGGAGTTTCTGGGAGCACTTTACTTCTGGTCTACTCCTGTTTCAGCTTTAAGATCTTTTTACTCCCAAAGATTGTAAAAAATAACAACTGAGCTCCAAAGGGACAAGAATGTCTGTTGTGCTCCCCAGTGTCTTCCAGCATCACATACAGCCCCGGTCTGAAGTATATGCCAAAGAGATATTTGTTAAATGAAAGAGTAAGTAACTATTGAAATCTTCCTGAGGTCCACTCTATGTAGGTTCTTGACATGCATTCCCTTACTGAATCTCACAACACTGCCACAAACCGGGTGTTGTATGAGTAACACCATCCTCTTCTCCATCAGTACACTGGCTCAGCAGGTAAGGCGAGGCTCTACAGACAGCATGTAAATCACAAGGGAAACATTGCCCCTTTCTGTTTCCCAGATGTTCTTACTGCCCATGGCTTTGGAGCCTTTCCTTCTGTTGGAAAACAGAAAAGCACCTTCTGGAAAGGCAGCCTGGCTCCTCCTCCAGTCAAAGCCACAAAGTCAACAGTCAGTTCCACAGCACTTGCTACCACTCACCTCTCTGGTTAACTGGGCATAGGGCAGATTTAGTCTACAGAAGATTCTAGGCTTTCTTTCAATCAACCACCTCACTATTCTCCTGAATAGAACATGAGTAACACAGTGAAGGGCCAGTTCAAGGCCCATTTGCACAGAACGTGGCTTCAGACTGCTCCCCATGCCCAGCCCTCGGGTTTTGTTTCCCCTCTTGGAAAGGCTGGGAGGGCTCTCCTGGGAGCATCCCAGGCCATCAACCTTCCCTATAGCACCATTTGCCATTAGCTGGTGCCATTTGGCCTCTTCTCTTGGCTGGTATGTCTAATGCATGGGGATATGCTGACAGGCAAAAGGTTAATCTTGCACTGGAAGCCTATTTATAGGCCTTTTCTAAGGAAAGATAGGTCACCACAACCCAAGGACTACAGCAACCGCCAATGGGGACAGTTCTGGGGCGTGGCTTGGTCAGTGTGGTTGAACTTTGGGGACAGCTGCACTTGGCGCACCCTCAGCTCCTATTCATGGGTGGGGCATTTGTATCCACAACCCACTCTCCTAGCTTCTGTTTATTTGGGTTTTTTGAATGTTTATTTTTGAGACCGAGTGTGCATATATGAGTGGGGGAGGGGCAGAGAGTGGGAGAGAGAGGATCTGAAGTGGGCTCAGCTCTGACAGCCGAGAGCCCGATGCAGGGCTCAAACTCACAAACTGAGATCATAACCTGAGCCAAGGTCAGACGCTTAATCGACTGAGCCATCCAGGTGCCCCCTCCTAGCCTCTGTTCTAAGTGCTGGCTAGCTGCTGCCCAGCAAACCGTACTGGCAAAGGAGTGGAAGGAGGAGGAGTGGAGAGAGAAAACTGAAGGAGAGGAAAGCAGGAATGAGGAGTGTGGGGGTGGGCAGGAAAAGAGTGGGGGCTGTGGTGGGAGGAGGAAAAAAGGGGAGAGTAAACCTTCTCAAATGACCAAGTTAACTGAAATACAGTTGTATGCTGTCATTGAAGATAACGAACTGAACCAGCCATTAGTGTAAACACGTGTTTTAAATACAAATAGAGAGTTCTCCAGTATGGTCTACTATCTACGACGTGATTTCACCTATGAAAAAGAAAACTGCAGGGCACTTGCCTGAGTGGAAATTAACACAAGAAGAATATGGCGCTGTACTTAGGCAAGTCTGGACCAAATTAAGTTAATGCAAAACATGAATACAGAACTGCAGTTGGCAAGAACAACTTAGAAGGGTTTTAAAGTTCCTTTCAAGAAGGTTTTTAAAGTCTTTAGAACAATAAAGAGCAAAGCCATAGGAACATTTTTTGGCTAGACTATATTGGACCATCTGATGTGGTATTTGGGGTCATGTTGATTCTATTCTAAAAGTCAGCGGCCAAGCAATTTTGTCTTTAAAACACACACACACACACACACACACACACACACAAATTAAAACACTGGGTTGGACCTTGTTGGTAGACTAAGCTCAGATTTCAGTGAGTCCGAGCTTCAGCCACTTGCCTCAAAGCCACCCCCAAGGGAAAGTTTTTAAAAGATCACAATAGCTGTTAGAAAAAAGAAAGACCGAGAGAAGAGAGACATCACAGACAGAAATCTTCCAGAACCTAGTGGTCCAAACGGAACAACGAGCTTCGGGGTGCATGCCTATACAATGCTAGGAATGTGGTGGATGGTTCTTTTCCTGAAAACCTTGGAAAACAGTGGGTGGGCTTCTCAGAGGCTGGGTGTGCTCTGGATAGGTCCCCTGACATAGGACTTAGGGTGATTTGCTCCCTCTTCCCCCCTTCCCACACTCCTGCTTGAGTTCCAAAGCCTGAACAATGCTTTCTGCCTCACAGGAGTGGGACTAGGGTGCACTATGTACCTGCTCCCTCTGCCTCACTGTGTGAGCCTTTCCCTCCACTTGAGCCATGACTTTGAACCACAGACAGAACCCAGCAGAGACTGGCCACACACACTCACCCAGGGAGCCAGCAAGCACCTGCTCCTTTCCCCAGCCCCTCTCTATAGCCCTCAGCACCCCTTCTCCTGTGGTCTGCCTTGTAGTCGGGGAACTCAACTGACTTTGGTAGACCTTTGGAAGCAGAGCTCAAAACCAACTCTACCAAAAATATAAATGAGAAGATACATTCCTTTTTTCTTTTTTTAATCCGGACTCTTATCATTTAACACAAGGGATGTTGCCTTATACACAGTAGCTGATTAGTTTTAATGTCGCGTGTCACCTTCTTAGGAAGAAAAATGCTACAGTTAAACCTGAGACGTCTTCCTGAACTCTTCTGGACTGGTCACTTTGGGGGAGCGGGTTTTCTCAGAGAGCTGAGGATTTTACTGACACACAGTTCTGCCACCCTGTTTTGGTTACGTACCCTGATTTTGCTGTAGCGGCGGAAGGGCGCTGCTCTTCCTCTCACTCCACCCCTGGATATGGGGAGATTCAGGCTTGGCCAGTCAGAGCACGGATTTCCACAGCCATGGCGTTGGTTCAGGAAAGGGTATGTGATCCAATCAGAACCAGATTTGGCCTGGAGAAATGCATGCTCTTTTCCCTAGACTTGAACCTGGAAGGATGAATGTCTAAGTCTGTTTGGGCTGCCATAACAAAATATCGCAGACTGGGTAGACTAAACAATGGACGTTTCTTTTTCTCACTGTTCTAGAGGTTGGGAAGTCCAAGATTAAGCTGCCAGCAGATTCAGTTCCTGG